CGGATGCACCCCTGCTAGCTTTCGTCACCTACCCTCGGCCTCAAGTTAGCTATGAATCCCCCAAACAAGTGGGCTGGTGAGGAGCCGCCCGGCCAGGACAACATGAAGCGGTCACCGCTGCCGGTGACCCTCGGTGCCTTGTTGGAAAGGAAGCCGGAGTTTGGGATAGCAGGGCCTAAGTCGGGCAGCCGCCACGGTAGGAGCTGATAAAATGTTAAAAAGGTTCAGGAGTTGCGGATGGCTTTGACCCTGTTGGCCAAATGTTTGACTCTCCAATCCTTTCTTCTCGCTGCCTAGCCCGCTTGAAGCTTGAAGGCCATGGGTAGAGAGAGAGAGTCCACTCTTCAAGATCCAACGAACGCGGAAGAGACGCAGGCTGTTTGATGCAAATGGTTTATAGACAGATGTTGGGAGCCTTCAAACACCCTGTTCCTCCCTGAGCTGGAACTGCACATCACTCCAACTGCTCCATGTTTTCACCTTCACCTCACGCCCACGCGTTTGCACATGTTCACCGGCGAGGTGGCCTGGCTGGGGCGGCTTGTGGCGCTTTGGTGGCTGGCCCTTGGGGTGGAGTCAGGCCCTGAGACGTTTCTCCATCGTGTTTCACCCAGTTGACGGGTTACGTGACGTGGGCTCAGAGGGCTTGCAGGCTGGGGGCAAACAGGGGGATGGGGAGGGAGGAATTGACTCACTGCCAGCAAAGTTGCCGTATGCGAGCTTGGCGGAGGCTTGGCTTGAATCCTCCAAGGGTGGTATTACATGAATCTATGCCCTAGGCTTCCAACCACCAGTGATTTATTTAATAGCCTTTTCCGGTCGCCACCGAGCGCGTCGCTTGCGTGTGAGGCTGTGGGCGTGGGAGTGGGCCTTTACTTGGAGAGGCCAAGATTGCACCGGGCTCGTTCGGAGTATGATCCGTGAGGACCAAAGGGAGGTTCTTCCCCCTTCGCAAGACTCTGACGCCGGACCTCAGGTGAAACAATCGATATTGGAACAAGAACGCTACTAGGGGCTCCTGGCATCGCTACTATTAGCGTCCTCGCTCCTAGTAGCGATGCCAGGAGCCCCTGGTAGCGATGCCCTTGCTCCTAGTAGCTTCTTGTTCCTATTGGAATATTGTCTTTGGGTGTTGCCACAGGGTCCAAAGTCGCACATCCGAGACCGTGTATTTGAGACCGTGCCTGCGCCTTTTTGTGTACAGATGACCGGAGGTCTATGAACAAAAGTGCACCTCCTTGTCCCATTTTGGAGTTTCGGCACACTTGACACTTCTATAATCTTCATAATCTTAAATATATTCACAGCTGAAAGGTGGTGAATACATATGAATGCATTGATGGTTTTGACTTTTGTGACTCGTCATTTGCCCATTGGGTTGGCCCATGCTGAACGGATCGGTGCAGATCCAGGAAGTACCGAAATGACGAGTGAGCCCTGAGCTGAGAGCCGCCATAGGTGGCGCAGGTGGGAGGAAGTTCGTTGCTTTCGCACCAGGACGCCGGCAACTTTCGCTTCACATGTCATGTAGCCCACGCAGTCCGTCATGCATGTCCTCATTGATCCTCCTGCCTCGCTCAGAATCACTGTTGAGTTTATCACACGGCAATTTGGATCGGCTGAGCAGCCTGAGATCGTGATGGCAATCACTGAGAGATGAGAAGTTGAGACCCAGCCCAACTATGCCCCCATCCATTCCCCAATCCAGAGTTTCGCATCCCATGATGATCGACTCCAGCCTTTGAGACAAGGCTTAATTGGACACGATTCATTTCAACGTATGTCGACTATTCTCGCCGGAACTTACGCAGCAACCCCCCCATGAGGGGAAAAGCCTCTCATTATCTCTCATTTTGTAAACGTGGAGAAGTGGCTTGATCTGGAAATGCATGAGAACATGAGAACCCGGTAGGTAGTCACATCCCCACTCCAGTGTGTGGAAGAGGCCACGCATGGCCACGCCTTTGAACTAATGATGCCCAGAACATCCCAGAACGAAAAGCAACAGGTCTTAGCTTTTCCATCTCTCGATGTGATCACGAACCGCACCAACTGGGGGCAGAAGCCACGGGGCCTTACCGCGGCATCGGGTCCAACGGAACCGAACGTGCCGACTCTCCCCCTGCACACAGGCCGTTGTAGCGCTGGATTGACTGCGAAGGTTTTGGACGTGTTTGGCAGGTGCTCTTTGGAGCAGTGACATTTATATATGTTGATATGTGTCAGTTACTTTTTTGGCAGCAGCAGCTCTGAAGCTACAACCTGACGCGAAATTCTCCGGGCACCTTTGTGAGAAGCTCGAAAAACAGCGAAGGCCACTTGCACCTTGAGCTTGCTCGCGTGCCTGTTCGGGAACGACATGTTGGGGAAGGGCTGAGAAAAAGTGAAAGTTGATGTGAATTCCTGGGTGTGCTGTGGCTGCGGCTGCTCGGGCTCCAATTATTCGGCGTTCGGCGGGTGGGCGCCTGAACTGCAACTGGCAGTTGAGGGCTCAGATGGATTCTGGATACGGAATGTTGGTTGATGGGCATCAAATCTGATGGGATAATGCATACAAAGAATGCGCTTGTTATAGCCTTGGGTCATTCGCAAACATCTTAGGCTTGCGTGGATGCTTGCTGCCGAAGATCAAGGCAAGCAGGAATCTGTGAGGGCGTACCTAGGACCCAGGAGATGGGTATCCAGCATAGCTGCTTTTCCAAGCCTCGGTGGTGAGTCCAAATGGCTGGTCAAAACCCAGACTGCTAACCCCTGGAGGTTGACCATAATTGACCTCCTTGGTAGTCCAGTCCAGTCCCTCTCCGCCACTGAGAATCAGACTCTTCGCATTTTGTCCTTGTTTGTGGCAGAATGCGCCAACAACAGTTGTACTCGTAGAGCTGCTTGTAGGGACGGTGTCGCTTACCCAGGGGTGAGCTAAACATGCGGAAGTGATTTGAAATCAGAAAGATTAGGAGCAATGGCATGAAGAATTGGATGTTATTGATCCTGGATCTTTTAAGATTATATTATATACTGGCTGGTATAGTGGATATGTTTGAATACTATTTGCAGGACAGGACAACCGAGATAACCAGTCATACTCTTTGGATCATTGGCATGGCTGTGGTCGGAGGTTGGATGAGACTTGGGGTGCCCCTTCTTGGATACAACATGATACTATACAACATTTGGGGATCCCCAGGAAACATCCCACAGACACGTGAGTCGATTGGAAGAGACATGAATTCTGTATGTCTCCAGCCTGATTGTGGCCACTAGCTTCAGCCAGCGCATGACAGGCCGTGCGGCTGGAGTTGTGGACCGAAGAGGTGTCGATGTTTCCTTCGTTGCCACATCGACACCTCCAACCGTTTCTTTATGCTGCTCCATCTGTTGCACAAATCGAGAGAGGATGCCGTTCCAAAATGGCCAGGCCAAGAGCTGGAAGACGACGCGCGGGATTCAGGTGCAGCTTAAATCTCGTAGACGTTCTTGATCTTTCATCGTGAATGGGTCGGGCAAATGAAATCCTGGACTCGCAAAGCTTCGCCAGATCTCGCCAGGTTGTCCATGTTCGAAATCATCTTCCGGCATCTAGCCCTCCTGCATCCAGACATGTCCAAAATTCGGCCCATGTTGCTCAAGTGGAACGCCAAAGAGCCTTCTCAGCTGAAAATGAGCATCAAACACCCAAATCGGGGGAAGCAAGTGGGGAACCATTTCTCATATGCATCCTCCACAAAATAACCAAGAGATACCAGGAGACAGTGGAGAGAGAGAGAGAGAGAGGCTGACAGTGGTCGACTGGCTTGCCGTGTCCGCGCGAACACGCCTGCATGGCCTGAAGCTCATGGAGAATGGAGATTTGCTGGACGTCGAGGGCATCGCGGTGAGGACGAGGGTGGCACATGAGAGGGGTGGCACTGGTGCTGGAAGTTGGGTCCATGGAGGTGGAGTGGTGTGGAGTGTTTCGCAAGTGTGCCGCAGCTACCCCATCTATTGTTCAACTTCCCCGTGCATTAAACAGGATGAAACAGGTACCACACATTTGCATCTCTCCAAGCACTCCTTTTCGCCCTTGAGCTCTAGTTGAACATGGACTTCATGCTTCGCCATGCTTCCCATGAACCCATAACTTACATACTGACGCGCTAAAGCTAGTTCTGATGACACAGCAAAACATAAAAAATGCATAAACAATGCAAACATAATGCAAAACCAATCCCAAAAAAATGCACAGAAAACGCAAAAACAAGTCTGTAGCTGGACAGGATTCATCAATCGCATCCTACAATGTCCAACGCACGGGGGTTGAATCCAATGGGTATGAACGCTTTTTGGTATGAGGGTCACTATTCAGAAGGAAGTCAATTAGGTTGGACCATTGGAGGCCATCCCCAATCGGTTGGAGGCCATTGCTAGTAGCTTGGAGGCCAGGGCATTATGATATGATAGAAGTAGCATTTGATAGTCCTGACCCTCCATACGTCTGCCAAAGTTGTTCCTAATGGCTTCTTGTTCCTAGTATGACTGGACCCGAACATGGCACCTGGGCACCCAGTCCCACCTTCTCAGAAGGTACGACTGGATGCCTTGGAATGCAAAAGAACGCAAAACAATTGCGATAAAAACGCATTTGTCCACTAAACCAATGCAAAAAAACGCACAAAAAATGTAAAAAAAATGTACAAAAAAGGCACAAAAAATGCAAAAAAAAATGCAATCAAAAAGCAAAACAAATGCGGTCAAAAACGTTCTGGTCTTTGCCTTTGCATTTTTGTTTGCTTTGTATTTGAAAATTGGATTTTTTGTGCGTTTCCTTGAGAAAACGCAAAAAACAAATCGAAAAAAAAAGCAAATACAAAGCAAAAACAATGCAAACAAAATGCAAAAAAATCGCACCAAAAATGCAAAAACAATGCAACAAAATCGCACAAAAAAGGTGGTGTGTGAAATTTGGTTTTGCATGTGCATTTGTTTGCATTGTTTTTGCTTTTTTGAACTGCTGTTCTGTTTTTTTTTTTTTTTTCTGGCTTCCTTTTGCATTTTTTTGCTTTTTGATATGCACTCTTTTTGAGCAGCTGCCTTTTTTTTGCTTTTTTTTATGCATTTCTTTTGCATTTCCTGGTCATCCTTTGTGAGTGTGGTTTTGCTTTTTTTTTTTGGCTTTTTTACGAATCCTTGAGATTTCAGAGTTAGGCTGTAAGGTACATCATAAAGCTATAGTAAGACAAATTACTCGTACCTGTCTACCACACCCTAGGACATCTACAGGTGTCCTGGCCTCCTTTTGGAGGGCTCTCTCATCTTCCTGTGGCCTTGCTCCGCTCCGCTTGTCCAGGATCGCGACAGTTCCAGAAGCCGCACGGATTGGATGCGAGGAAGGGCTCGGCATAGACGGGCACAGATTTTGATTGGTTGGGGCCGTGAAAGTCTACCGTACAGGCCCTTCGGATCCCTTTGGGGTCCATATTTACTATGGTTGCGACTTTCGATCAGAATAATCTTGCTATCCTAGAATTAGTGTCAATCCCACACATCTTGCGCATGTCAGATGCTCCCACGTTTCTCGGGCATTGGAGGAGAAACCCTCAGAAAGAGAGCTCAAAAGAATTTGGCGTCCAGTCTGAGTGACTTGCAAAATTATGTAGGAAGATGAACTCCGCATGTTTCTCATATGTTTCCCTTCTCGAAGAAGTCACTCACAGTGTCACTCACATTGTTTTGCCAGAGGATGTCACAGGGTTTCAAACCTGGATGCCGGCCACTCGTGCAGCAGCTCGAGCTTTTCAGCAGCTGGAGACTGGGCGGACCAGGCTTGTGGCATAGATTCGCGTGTTTCACCACTGTGAGTGGTGCTGTGGGGCTGTGGCTAGACAGGACACAGAAGCTGCTTTGGCCCACCAAGAAGAGGGACCCATCAAAGCGGGAGCAAGCCATGGTTGGGAGTTGGGAGAGTTGATCCAATTTCTCGGATAATTTTTAATCCCAAGAAGCCTCGAAGAACTCTTCGTTGAGCAGTTTTGCATATTTTTGTCATTGCTTGGCATTGTTGAAGCCATGATTTCCCATGTTAATTAAGGGATATTAAGGGTACAACGACTCATGCAAATCCGCTGATATGCTATGCCACTCACACCCTTCAGATTTCGTCATGTAGTCAAAATCCAACTCAACGGTTTGGGCGCTAGTTTTCGTCTTTCAGCTTGGTAGAGGCTTCTCCTCGAGCTGGGCTGTGGTTTGGGCGCCCTGGGGACTGCCATGAGCGCAGCCACGAAAACCAGCAGCTTCCTGGTTTTGACGGACAAGGTGTGGTATATATTTAAGCCTTGCCCTGTGGGAGGGACGCCAAAACTGTCACCAGAATGAAAGGTGCCCACCAAGGGGAAGGGTGAAGTTGAAGAAGTGGCCCAAGAGTCGAAGGCGTTGTTCCGACCGGCTTGGGGTGCATGGGGAGTTTAGCTTGCCATTGCTAGAAGTGAACTTGGGAGACCCGTCAAGGCCTTGATGATCTCAAGCCGCAAAGCAGGAAGGCCCGAGAAAAAGAATTCAGAGGTGAAACTTTTGAGAATGGAGTCCCCGATGGCACCGGACTCGTGCCGCATTGCTCACAGAAAATCGTTGATGCAGCTTGAGCATGCTGGATGCTCAAGCAAAAAAGTCCTCCCGAACCTTCCTCCTTGAATTTCTGCTGAGCTGCTAATGTCATACCGCTAAGATACTGCTAAGCTAAGTGTTTCAGATTTCAGCAAAATTTTGGTCATTTCGGTCATTCCATGCTGTTGGTCGTCTTTGCGGTCGGGCTGTTTGGAAAGGAGCTGCCCGTGCTGAAGCTGGCACAAGAGACCGCGAAGACCAATGCTTTGACGAAGTTTGACGTCGTGGCCTATGATTTCGTGCGAGGCGCGTCCTGCGTGGCGGTGACAGGGGGCACCCACCGGCGTGGGTCACTCCTGAAAAAGGATGAAAAAGGTGTCACGTTTTTGTCTGGAACAACCCGTTGCACCTGTGTGTGTGTGTGCGTTTATTTTCCTTGAAGGGGGCCAACAATTCCGGCAATATAGATATTATGTGTGGCCCGATTGATTGATTCATTCATTCATTGATAGAAACTAGGCTAGTGGCAGTTTGGATCTTAGCAGAAGTGATTACTGATTACCTTGGAGGGGGCTGGACGAGACACTATAGACTATATATATATATGATATATAGACATTAGGTCTACGACAGGTGTCTAGAATCTTTAACATTTTGGAGGGTACCAGCAGCTATGGCAGAAAAAGCTTCCGCCTCACCCTGTGTTGCAGTCATCTTCCAAAATTCGAGCAACATCATCAGGGTGGGCACTTCACAACTTTCAAGGCCATAAGATACCATAGGCCCTATGCTCTGGCCTTGGACTGATCATCGAGATCCCAAGCAAGTAGTGATCAAACTCTTTTTGCAAATTTGCCGGCATTATATATTCTGTTCTATTGCTGACCAGCCCACATGTGCGCACATTAAATGATAATTAGTTGAACAAGGTAATCCCACTAGCAGTCGCTAGTATGAGTCTTCATGGGCTCATCGTGGCTCATCTCCTGCCGCCACCGGGGGGGATTGTTTTGGAGGCCCACCGCCCTGGCGGCAGCATGGCTTCGAGACCGTCCTGGCAGCAGATGTGCTTTTCTTGGACCAGCGCCATGGACTAAGGAATTATGGGAGCTTCTTCTCTTGAATCGAAGCAGGGATCCATAGAAAACCATACAGAGCTTTCAACAAGTTTATGTTTCTGAGTCACTTGCTAATCAAGGTCCAAATCTCATGAATTTGGGAGTAGAGACGGATAGACAAGGTTTAAGATGTACTTTTTGATTCACTTCCTCTTTTTTGTGACGCTGAACTGAGCCAGGCTGGCGAAGCCCCTTTGGGAGGCCTTGGAGCACCTGAGTGCCAGATACGCCGTGGTGGGGCATCAGATCCGCCGAGCGGTCTACATGGACAAGAAGAGTGGTTTGCCATGTGACTTGGAGGGATGCAGCATGAAGCTCAGGAGGAAAAGGAGGAGCCAACTTTTTTCCACGGACAGCTGGCCAATGCTGGCCATGGTTTCGGTGAGTTTCTGGACACTCGAAGCTTACAACTGGGCTTTATAGCTTTCACGAGGTGCACGTTTGTTCAGCCAAGGTCAGATATTTGAAGGAATTTAAAGGCTTCCCTGTTTTGATATCGATCATGATCGGTACAATGAGCAAAACAACACAGGTGACATAATGTATATATATATATATGTATATCATATATCCGCATCTCATTTCATGTTTTCCCATCTTCATCCACAAGACATACAGATGAAACCATATATGCCACATCCACATATAGTCACCATCCAGCCACTGCCCGGGCCGCCTCGCTTCCCCTCCCGCCACTTGAGGCGTGGAGCCCGACGACTCGGCGCTGGAGCTCTTCCGCACCTGCGCCCGGCCGCGCCTGCGCGGAGCCGACGCGGTCGAGGCGGAGGTCGGGGCCCGACGGTCCGAAACGAAAAGAAACAGATCGAGGTGGAAGAGGACAGTCAAAGGTGGAAGAGGCTCCAGAAGTTGTTCGGGTTGGTGGGCGGAGAGGCCGATCAAAGAGGTGGAAAAGAGATGAAAAGACGTGCGGGGGCAAAATCCCAGGCGGCAAAGGTCGTGGGCGTTGGGTTCGGACGAGCCGAGGATCTTCAACAAAAGGCAAACAGGTTTGGAAGAGGATCTTCAAGGAATTTGTGTCAGGTTTTCAGGTCTTAATCTTGAAATTGGTTGAATGACAAGTGAAATAAGTACAACGCATGACCAGTGTTTGGTGCCATGGCAGTGCCATGTGCACTTGATTGTTTGATTTTTTGTTGGGTCACCGTGCGCAATAAGAGAAGCTTTGGCAATTAGAATCCAAAACTTCTAGAACGTGACCCCTTGCTGGGAGCCATGCCGAGTAATGCAAACACATCTTACACAGTTCCGCATTACAACGCTCGCTGGTGCTCAGCGTTGTGGAGTCAGTTTTAGGAGGTTCCTCGAAAACAACCAGCCTTGTGCAAGGTTCTCCACCGGTCACGCAACTTCTCAGGAGAGCGTGGCCTTGGTCATGGCCTGGGCCAAGCGGCCGCTGGAGGATGAACACGACGAAAAATGGACCGTTGGGCGAGCCAGGATGTAGGTGGGTTTTTCTTCATTGGAGGAACGCCTTCAACCTTGGATTGGCTCCCCCAACTACCTGGACTTTCGAACTACCGAAATGTTCTGGTCGGTTTGTTTTTTTGGGGGTCGCTTTGGTTGTTGTGCTTGTTTGGCATTTTTTTTTGCGGTCGTGTGAGGTTATTTGATGCTATTTTGTTGCGATCGTGTTGCCGTCAGCACTGAAAAACTGTGACCAAAACTGGAAATGGTCGTCGTTGGAAGATGCCCATCTCCAACCAACACCAGATGGCTTCGCGTGCTACTTGGGCCTTCGAGACATGCTGTAATTGATTTGATATCCTGCCCTGACACATGACACGATGGCGAGCGTCGTGCTGTGGGGGGGTTGTTTTTTGCAGCTCCACTGGCGAGGGGATTGTTTTTTTGCAGCTCGAAATTGTTGTCTGAGCGGAGATCAGATCGCCATGGCGGACTGCTGTGAAGTGTACCATGAAGAACCTCCCAAGCAGCCGAAGAAGAAGGAAAAGCCGCGAGACGAAGAGGAGAAGCGGCCAAGAGAGACCAAGAAGGTGGATCAGCTCCTCGGCGAAAATGAGATGAACATAGATGACCGGGTGGCGCTTTCATATTGCTTTGGGCGAAACACAAGCTACTAGGAGCAAAGGGCATCGCTATTAGGAGCAAGGACGCTACTAGTAGCTCCTGGCCTTACTAGTAGGAACAAGAAGCTACTAGATGCTACTAGTAGCAACGGGAGGTAGTTATGTTGATGTTCAAGTATGTTCAACTGCTCAACCGTTACTTAGGATGATTTGGGCCCACTGACAAATATGATATGTTTCAATTGAAACCACCAACCAGATGAACAGGTGAATGGAGGACACTCAGAAATGTCTCCAGCGATCGGCTGCCGACTCCAGGGTCAAATATTCAATCCTCCTCGTCAGTGTTGGACATAGACCAGCTGCCACCTCCGAAGCAAAATCCTTCACAACGTGACGCTCGTTACAAGAGTGCTGATAGTATATATTTAAGGACACTCCAGACTTAATTCATGTCCAGAACCCTTTGGAACTCCTGGCCTGTCACCGTCAAACGCCTGGCCAGAGCCAGACCAAGTCCGCACACTTTCGGGAGAGGAGGCCGAGCCAAACCCGATGCAAAAACCGCATGGCTTCGCGGTTCTTCCCGAACCGACCTCAGGGGGCGGATCAATGCACTCCAGATGCTCGAGACCATCCCCGCAGGCAGATGTGTCGTGATGTGTGTGTGTGTGTGTGTCAACACCTGTTCCTAAGGTTTGTGCCTAGTCGGTTTCTAGAGGGCTGGTTGCTACTAGCTGCTCTTGGCCTTGCTACTAGGAACTAGAGGCTTCTAGAACCCCAGAGCTCACCACTACTTGAGAAACAAAAGCAGGGGGATCAGGCTTCCAGTGACTAACCTGATCCAACGAAGCTGGGTCACTGGAAGGGATGTGGTTGAGGACGCTCGACCATGTGTCACCCCAATCTTCCTTGGTTTGCTTCCATGGTGTTTTCGCACGATACCTCCCCCTCAAACAGGTTTCCCACCGCAGCTTTCAGCCGCTTGTGCATTGCCGCCAGCAGCGCGAGTGAAACAATTTTTCAACAATTCAAGTCACCAGACTATTTCGCCTTGCCGTTCCACCACCTTCCTTCTCAACTGGGGAATTGAGCTAACTGAAAACCAATGTCAGAGTGTGAACCGCTCAGCCGTCCCACTTGGGTGCTGGGTGTGATCCTCCGCAAGGAGGCGCCGTTTTCATACCGGAAGTCGTTCTCCTGATTTATCGTCCTTTCATCCTGGATCACTTTCACTGCTTCCGTGTCAATACTGAATTAACAGGATTCAAAGCCGCCGGGCTTTTTACGGATTTACGGATTCTCTGTACCTTCGGATTTCATAGCGACATGCATGCAAGAGCTTATTCCTTCGAATTTGTTGCAGCTGCACTTTCGATTTCAAGGATCTAGAGGCTTCTAGAACCCCAGAGCTCACCACTACTTGAGAACGACGAGGCAGGGATGCGGAAACAAAAGCAGGGGGATCAGGCTTCCAGTGACTAACCTGATCCAACGAAGCTGGGTCACTGGAAGGGATGTGGTTGAGGACGCTCGACCATGTACCTGCTGAGTTTTTCACAAGCTGTCACCCCAATCTTCGTTGGTTTGCTTCCATGGTGTTTTCGCACGATACCTCCCCCTCAAACAGGTTTCCCACCGCAGCTTTCAGCCGCTTGCGCATTGCGGCCAGCAGCGCGAGTGAAACAATTTTTCAACAACTCAAGTCACCAGACTATTTCGCCTTGCCGTTCCACCACCTTCCTTCTCAACTGGGGAATTGAGCTAACTGAAAACCAATGTCAGAGTGTGTGCCGTTGGTGTCGGCGTCAGCATCATGCCATGTTATTCCAGTGAAGGTGCATGAAGGTGCGTGGTTTCTTAGGTTTCTTTGCCGGAAAGGTTGGTACATGTAACTTGCAACATAGCCATGTGAATATGCCCTATGAAATCTCCAGGGATAACCCCTCACATAAAACGTTTTATGGTACCCCGCGTGTTGATTTTGACCCTGTTGTGAAACTGTGGATATGTCGTGATAGGTGTGATTATGTGTGTTTTTGCTGATGTGCAAGTTGATGCAAGTTGTATTTCTGACGTTTCTGA